CATCTCTCTCTCCCCTTTCCCTTTTCCCCCCCCAAACCAGAGTAACCTGAGCTTTTTTGCTGGTTCATCAGCTGATTCAGCTCTGGGCTTGGGAATTCTCCTTGCAGATGGTAGAGGTCACCTCAAGTCAACTGTCAGATTCACTCTAATAGAAGACTGCTGGGAAAGCGGAGGATGAGGACTTCAGCTCCCTTCAGGGAATGGAATTTGGGTATTTGGTTTCTGTTATGGACTGGGACTTGGGTATTTGGTTTTTGGTTGTTTTTTTTAAATTTCTTTTCATAGTCTGTGTATAGAGGCTTTAAACGGAAGAGAACTTAAGAAATGTGAACTGTACCTAGCAATAGCATGTTAGATTTTAGTCCTCACAGCTGTGAGCAACAGGGATTGGGTATTTGGTTTTTGGTTGTTTTTTTTAAATTTCTTTTCATAGTCTGTGTATAGAGGCTTTAAACGGAAGAGAACTTAAGAAATGTGAACTGTACCTAGCAATAGCATGTTAGATTTTAGTCCTCACAGCTGTGATGAACAGGGAAAGGGGACCCAGACCCTGCAGTCTGCGTTCAGGGTGTTGATGCTGACAGACCTGGGATTTCTCTGGGATTTGCTGCAGTTGTTGTGTAGAAGAGACGGGGGAAATTCTCTTCTCCTAAAACCCCCTTTGGTATTTCCAAGGTGATCAGTTCCTTTTTTCTCCAGAATGAGTTCTAACACTTTGAAAAACAGCATTTGGGTGTTTTCTCCTCTGGCGCAGGCTACATACACTGATTTTAAGAAGATTTTAAGTTCTTTTTTACCTAGCCTGTAGGTCATGAATTTTCCTTGATCTACTTGTTCATCTAAAATTTGAATTAGCTTTGATGGAACTGAAATTAGGTTTGGAAACAATCTGGCTGAAGTTTAAAACCTATTCAAGCCTGTGAGCCCTACCTGAACCCTATCTTAGCATTCCTGGATGAAATACCTGTGTTCCAAAGGGGCCACACCCACAGCAACCCATGCTATCAAACCAAACTTTTAAAATCTGGATACCCAGGTAGAAACCTGAGAGTTTTTCTCTCAGATGAGCTAATCCCCTCCACACTGATGCAGAAGAATTGGATACCACCATTTTAAGGAACATTTTATGAAATGGTGAGAAGTCAAAGACTTCTCAGACCTTGGTACAAAGAAAACTTGGCCCAGACCTTGGTGCAAGATAGCACAGATCTGCCAGACTGTCCACTAGATGGAAGTGTTATCCGGTCCCTGCGTGGGGGTGTACAGAATCACCCCTTGTGAGGCCAGAAGCATCACACGCACTTGAGGCCACAAAAATCCATCTCCGAGTCCCGTTCTGTCTGCCTTCCCTGCCCCCAGCACCCTCAGCTCCAGCCGCAGCAGGGCATGGCAAGGGGGGCCTGCACCACGCCGGAGGCATGAGTTTGCCACGCCGCGGGGCTGCTGGTCCTGGCATTATATTACTAGACCTGCACAGAGACTCCAGCAGCGCGGCATGAACAGCGACGGCAGGGCATGACAACAGTCAGTGAAAACGACGGTATTTTTTTCAGCTTTTCCTGCTGCAGTCATCGCCTGCAATGTGAGGCAGCTTCTTTCCTTTTCTTTGTTTCTGCCATCCTCTCCCTCATTACTTTCTCATTCCT